ATTGGCTGCTGGGGGACCCCCCCCCCCCCCCCCCCACCTCAAGAGGCACCAGATATACATGTGTGGTGTAGTGAACCTGATTGGGTAACTTAGAGAATAAAATATATGCACTGTTATTTAGGAAGTTTAGGGTATTGAGAAGAGGATAGAACGGTGAGTTTATTCCTTATAAGAAAAAGTACAATTTATCCTCTTCACTTTCTCTCAAAACTTATAGTTCTGCATACTAAACTGTATTCACATTTTTTTCCTAGTAAGCATTGAAAATGCTTGTAACTTCATACATTCTTTATAAGCCACAATAAATTGTAGCAGAAATTTAAGTTGAAAATTAAAATGAGTAGTTCAGAGCACTCCGTTTCTGAGTGCATAAGAGAACAATGGAAGCAATAAGCAATGTGCAAAATTTCTGAGGGATTTGTATTGCAAGGGCTCCTTAGTTGTGGAAAAAGATAATTTAGAACCCATTTTAATTGCTTATCATTCAGTTGTAGGACAAAAAGTTCAGTCCATTTATTTCTTACTTAGCTTATTTACATAAAGAGGATCTTTGTTTAAAATATGCCTGCTTATGTTAATTCTTCACTTGAATCGTTCTCTTTGTGGCCAGTATTTGGCTGCATTAGTGACATTTGGTATATCAAAATACCCATGATAAGATTCCAGGAGGGGTTTTTTTTTTGCAAATGGCACTAGTGATATGGAAGGAAGAGACTTTTTTTTTTATAGGGAAGCTAAATTTGGGTAGGTACAATTTAGTGGCAGTTTGTCCCCTTTGCAGAGTGCTTTGAGACTTACTGACAAAAGTTAGGCAATATTGTCTGTGCGACATAATGAGAACAGAATCTGTAACTGGATATTTTTAAGTGTTGGTAAGACTGACACTGGGCTGCAGTAGTATAGACAGAAAATCCTGCCTTCATCAGGGGATCTCTTAAGGCAGTCCTCTTGCAACTCTATGATTTCATATTGCCAGTAATAAAGGAATATGGTAGGTCACTCTAAGGTGAGCAGAAAAGATGATGAAGGGGTTACAATGCAAAATATGAGAAGTAGAGTTAAAACTCTTTTTATCCCAAGTAAACCTATCAAGTTAAGGCAGAACAATATGACAGTATTCAAATATTCCTAAGGTTGCCATAAAGAACACAGAGAACAACTTCTTCCTTGCCATGAAAAGGACGAAACAAGGTATATGGTTTAAATGACAGCAAAACAGGTTTAGATAAAATCTTGGGTAAACTTCCTAACTCAAAAAATAGTAGAACGTGTTTCTTGGGAAAGTTGTAAAATCTCCTTCAGTGGAGATTTTTAGAAAAAAGGTTGATGGATATCTGTCTTGGATGGTTGCTGGAATAAATAAACTTGAGGTCTCTTCCAACTCTATTTTATGAATTAACATAAGGCTTTGCTTTAAAAAAAAAAAAATTCAGACACAGAATTTTTACCAGGTAACCTGGTAAAATCAATGGTGTTTCTGCTTAATCACAATTATTTCAACTAATGCCCAGTCTTAAAAAGACAGCGGCCTTCCCTTCCCATTTGCTTCCATTTAAATGTACTATATAGGTGTAGAGTTAAGCAGTGCATAATGCATCTAATGTAATATTTTAGGGCTAGATTATGCCCTATGCCAAGCTTTGCTTAGCAAAATTAGGTTAGGGCAGGGGTTTTCAATCTTTTTGCATCATTGTAGCCCCACCGAGCAGCGTGCTGCCAAGCGGGGGTGACAACCAGCCAGACATGGAGCAGCAGCAGCTGCCGTGTGGAAGCTTTCTCGGGGTTGTTTTTAACACCACTGCAACTTAAAGTGGCTACTACAAAATATTAAATTCCCGTGCTGATTAGAGTTTATGATGGCAGAAGTATTGTTATAGTGGGGCAGATTTCCTTTCTGCCTTAAGCCAGGAGAGACAGAGATTCATGGCCTAGTTGTGAAGTCAGCACTTAGCACGGTGTTACTCTGCACTGTGGGGATTTGTTATACATTTATAGCTTCATCATAGCCCTTTTGTGTAATTGGTGGCTGTAGTGCTATAATCATCAAAACAACAGCAGTGGGCTGTCTCTTTCAAGAGTTATTTCGTTTTTGCAACTTGAGATGTAAGGAACTGTTTTTGACAGAGGGGAGTGAAAACAGTTTGAATGGAAATAATGAAATTGCATAATGTTCCTTATATAGATTTCTTTATGATTTGTGTAGTAGGAAACTTTTACTGTTGACTTAAATATATTTAGCATAAGCATAAATATTTACTAAAGACTTTGAGTTAACACAGTCTAAGACATTATTTTGTAATTTATCTTACTACCTTTTTCCAGGATATGGAGGAGGTTTTAATGAACGAGAGAATGTTGAGTACATAGAACGTGAAGAATCGGATGGGGAATATGATGAGGTAAGACCTTTTAGCCTGCATGCTACAAGTTAGCTCACACTCCCTCTGAGTGCCACTCCAATCCCCTTTCGCTGCCTGATTGGCTGCTTTGCTTTCTGTTCCCTGCCTAGTCTGCTGCTCTGCTTTCTGCTCCCTGCCCTGTGTTCCCTGCCTGATTTGCTACTGTTTTCTGCTCCCTGCCCTATCTGCCTCTGTGTTGCCTGACCCCTCCCCAATCTGCCATGTGCTACGCAGAGGCTGCCCATGCTACTTACGGCGTACATGCTATAAGGTGGCCACCCTGAGGTAAGGTTATATATAATAGAGGAATGTAGATAATGACATTTGCATATGCCTGGGAAATCTGCTTGTAAAACTAACTTGGCATCCCTGGCTCTGGTTACAAAGAAGCTTGTTGTACGTGTCTTTTAAGCTGCACATCCTGTTAAATGATTTGCACCCTAGAATTAATAGCAAGTTGATAGAGTGAGCTGTTGTTTTGTTTTTTACCCTGATGGCAGTTAACTCCAAAAAATAATTTATTTAACCGCTTTCACAGTAAGCTTCAGATTTCCTACACACCTTAAACAGACATATTCAGTATTGCTTCGCAAATCAAGTGAAGCTAGTTACAAAGCTCATCTGTAAATGTAGCTTTCTCGCATCCAAATTTTTGGCGAATTTGTAAGCCTATCCGTAGATATACATGTCATTTTTCATTTTGCATCCAAGATAGATTATTTGAGCATTTATTCAGTGCATTCAACTAATGTTTCATGGTACCAGTTGCCTTCATCAGTGTATTTTGATTGTATTTGAAGTTAAGATTGGGAATATCTTAAATATAGCATTACTTGTCTTATGAACTATCAGCTTTTAGGAGGATACTTATTATTAAAGTGTTGCTTTTGTCAGGATGGTTGAAACCAAGTTTTCAAAAACCAGATTCTTATTAAATAAATTTTCTTTGTGATCAGTTTGGTCGCAAAAAGAAAAAATACAGAGGGAAACCAGTTGGTCCTGCATCTATCCTGAAGGAAGTAGAAGATAAAGAATCTGAAGCGGAAGAGGATGAAGATGAGGATGAGGATCTTTCCAAATACAAATTAGACGAGGTAAAATTCCTTTTGCTATCAACATGCCTTGAGTAGTTACTGTAATGCAGTTTGTAAGTAGAAGGAGAGTAGAAGGCCTTATTCTTTGCTGTTCTTATCTCAGTATTGTTGCACAATATATAAGCAATTGCTAAATTATTCACTCCAAACACATGTGCATTTTGAGAGAGTTTGGAGTTAAAAAAAAAAGATTAATTGAAGACAAGTCAGCCTGATGTCTGCTGCTTTGCTTTGAATAGCTACTGTTGGAATCTTATCACTTAGACTTTATAATTCCTTTGTAGTTTAAAAAAAAATCGTATTTAATTTTTCTGTGGTGGCAAAATAGTTGTTTTAATCTCTGTAATCCAGTACAGTATGTAAAAAATGTACACTAAAATGTTCTTCAGTTATCTTTTAGTAGGGACCTACCAAGTCACAGTTCCATGTTTTTTGCAGGAAATGCAAAATCAGATGGGCTCTGTGAAAAATGGCGGGCTCCATTATTTTAGTGGCCTCACCACAAAAGACAGAACAAAAAAAAAATCTTGCTGGCAAGCAGAGAAAAGGGCAGGAAGCCTTACAGTTTTGGAGCACAGAACGGGTGGGGCAGGCTGCTGCACACAACAGGAGACATGAAACCTGCAGGCAGCTGCACTATGGTCCCAGGCCAGCTGTGGCAGGCAGTCAGGGGGCTGCGCTATAGTCCTGCATTGCCAGCCCTGCCCTGGCTTGTGCACGTGCAGCTGGTCCAGGGCTCTGGGCAGGGTGCAGCCTCCCAGCTGCCTGCCACAGGTGGCTCAGAACCACAGTATTGCCTGCGGCCTCTACAACTCCTGCTGTGAGCAGCCCTGAACACCTCCTCCCAACCCCCTCATCACATTCCAAGACTTCAGGGTTTCCTACCCTTTTCTCTGCTTGCTGGTAAGTTGTTTTGTTTTTTGGGTTTGTTTGGGTTTTTTTATTTAAGTAAGCCTGCCAAAATCGTGGAGCCCGCTGCTTGAGGATAACCTGAAATTGTGACTTAATTACCCTGATTAAGCTTGGGAAACCAATTAATCCACACACAGTGTGCACATTGATAGCTTCCCCATGCTTAAGCAGGGTAATTCAGCTGCAGTTTCAGGCCACGTGGCAATCTGCAGGGAGGGTTGGGACTGTCAGGACCCCGCGGCCAGTCAAAGGTGTGGAGTGATCCCACTGTGCTCAGCCCACAGAAATGGTGGCCAGGCCTGGGATTTGCTCACGAAATCAGCTGGCTGCCACCTCTAATTTGGTAGGCCCCTATCTCTTAGTGTACTGTTTCACAGGTTTTCAGAAGTTTAAAAAAAACCCAAGCAAACATGAAGTAGTACAACATGCATGAGATTACTGTTAAATGATGCTAGCTTTATTTTTGCTAAAAAGTTGCAAAAAAAAAGGTTCTAAACTGCAATTATTTTCCTTTTAATCCATAATAGTTAGTTGTTCCTTCAGGCCATTATCCTGCAAGGACATATGCATGGAGTTAGTATTATACAGTGATCATCCAAGCCAGTGGAACGTCTTGGAATGGGGGTGGGCAACATGGTGGATCTAGCCAGCAGCCAGACTCCATTTCCCAGCAACCCCTGCCCATGTCACTGTAGCCAGTTTCTGTGGATACCCTAGGAGCAGCAGGGCAGTGGAGATGGATTGGAGCTTTGCCCCAGCTCCAGATCATGCTGTTACTGCCGCAGGATCCCAGCCCCAGATCCCAGCCGTGCACCCTGCCACAGGATCCCAGCCATGCACCCTGCCAGTGCTGCTGGGGCCAGTCTCCATAGAATCCCTGGCTCTGTGCTGTCACTGCCCTGCTGCTTCTCAGGTCCCCATGAAAACCAGCTGCAGCTGCAGAGGCAGGAGTTGCTGGGAAATGGAGTCCGCCACAGACCCAGTGTGGCCCGTGGGCCAGACTTTGCCTGCCTCTGCCCCATCTTGGAATAAGGGTGTCAATTTAAAGCTTCCAGAGCTATGTAATGTGGCCTAGAACAGGGCAGGGCAGGGCATGCCACAAAAATGGGGGAATGGAGCCCAGTTGGCAACATGTCTTTTTTTATGGCCAAGTGAAGGCTGCACTGACCGCTGTACCACATACACGTGTAGCCTGCAAGAAGCCCCACAGTAAAGATCTGGCCAAGGGGCAGAGTGAATTTGACACCTCACAAGGTGAGTTTTAGAATAAGAGGAGGTCTTTGGCACATTTGGGCCCTAGTTCTGCAGTGTAGTAACCTTGTGCCCAATCTGGGACTGCTACTAGGCATTTACCAAATATAAAGCCTTGTTTCTGTTTTTAAAACTCTCTTAAGACAATTACTGGACTTGAGTAACAAATGCTACCATTATGAAGGGGAAGTTTGAGGATCTTTCTTAAGGCCATGTGTAATTTGCTTTTCAACAGTGCGCACTCAGTGCTTAAAGTTTTTGGCTATCCTAACAAGAGTTTTTTAAGAACTAGCTTATTTAGTGGTTACTGCTGTAGAATAAAAGCTAGTGAACATCATGCTTTCAAATGAAGACAATGGTTGAAATACAAAAACTATTTTGTGTACATTTTCTTCCTGTCTAAATCTTCAGACAAAATTAAGGTTCTGTATTTTGTAGGATGAAGATGAAGATGATGCTGATCTCTCAAAATACAACCTTGATGCCAGTGAGGAGGAAGATGCTAATAAAAAAAAGAAATCCAACAGGCGCAGTCGTTCTAAGTCTCGATCTTCCCATTCACGATCTTCATCACGCTCATCCTCCCATTCAAGCTCAAGGTCTAGGTCCAGGTAAACGGGTACAGGTCAAGGGTAACGCCAGGCAAAATGTCAGTATCTAACTTCTTTATTTTTACATCTTTTATTCTTGATTGACTTACCATTTCAGTAAAATAATATAACTGTTTTACATGTTCAGTTTACACAGGTAGATAGCATGTTATAGCGGCCTTCTATTTACCAGTTCTAAATCTGGGAACTTCCTTAAGTTTGTCACGTTATTTTAGTGAATTAATTTTTATGAGACAGCTAAGTCACCAAAGTTTATGAAATATGAAACCTGATGTGTTTGCTCAGGTAATCGAAGGCCTGTTGGCTTATTGGTGAGTATAGGAAACGCATGCATTATCAGGGTACTGAGGTTCACAGTTGCAGTAAATGGGCTGTTAAACAGCAAAGCTGAAGGTAAAGCATTCAAAACATGAAAGGGCAGGGTTGGAAAATGCCTTTAACCTAAAGACAAGAAACTTGAACTTAATTTGGTGGGAAATGGAAGTTGAGGGAGGGAATAAGAGGACAGTAATGTCAAAGCAGCAGGTCCAGGTGATGGTCTTGGCTGAGATTTGAATGTGGGTGTGTATGGGTTTTGAGGAGGCCAGATAAAAGCTCTTATCACATATAAAGAATATGGATATGTCAAATTGTAAATAAATATGCCAACTATGGGCACATCATTGAACTGTTTAGTTACACTGAGCTAATCTATTTTAAGTGCCTTGGAACTAACAAAGCAAGATTAATTCATAGACATAAGACATCACTTCTTAGTCATTCTGCTGCTTATTTATATGCAAGCCATAGTTTGTTTTGAATTTCCCTGTTCTACTGCATAAAGTTCAAGTTTCTCCTCCTCTTCATGGCACTTTGCAATATTCCTTGTCTACCTTAACTGCTCTGCTTGCTGCCTTACATTTTTTGGCCGATTCATATTTACTAGCTATGCTAACAGCTGTCTCCTGTTTTGTCTGCTTCTTTCCCAGTCATTTTCAGACCTCCTTTCATGCTGTAGACCTTTCCTTTCCTTCAAATACCTTTTATTCACATCTGCCATAATGCCTACAAGGAGCTAAGCAAATCAAGATAACTAAAATAATCAACTCTTGGCAGTTATTTCAAAAATATATAGCTTTTTGATTATATGTTTTCTCAAAGGTAAAGCAAGATACTGTGAGCTCATACGAAAGGCCTGTATTGTCCTATGTTTGGACGGCATGCTGCATATGTGGGCAATACTAGAATACAAATTTCTTGTCTGCTGTACTAAAAAAAAACAACTGAACTTCAAATGAAAATATGAAATCGTTTGCTAATTTGCAAACCTCAACACTGAGGAAAAGCTTAATTTATCTGGAATATTCTGGAGTCTTTTTGGTTGTCGCCTTGTTAGATACTTCAATCCATATGCACCACCTTAGATTTATATTTCATTAAAATGAAAATACATTAGGTGTCTGGAAGGAATTTTAGTGCTCTTCAAAGGATTCTTTTTTAATGTACACATTTTTCTGGCCAGAAATAAAATTGTAGACTCCTGTTTGTGTAGCGTGATGAAGAGGATGTAGGTAAAAGTAACATTGAGAGGTGCAGAATGAATTTTTCAAATGGTGTTTGAAAAAATCATCGTGCCTTCTGTCCAAAATCATTATTTCAAGCATGGTATCATTGTTATGTGCCTCTTGTGTTTTGCATTTTAAAGAGACACCAGTTTAGAAAATATTGTACCTATTTAGGTTATAGGTAATATCTGATTTCCTATATATATTCCTATATTTTAGCAAAAGAAGTCTATCACACAAATACACTTGAAAATAAATCCTTTAAATCTACCTAGAGGAAAATATATCAGGTTCTAGGGGCATCTATACACATGTTCTGGGGTGGGGTGGGGTGGCAGTGGGGGCTGCGCTTTAATTAATGCTGCTCTGAGAGCTGCTGTAATTAAAGCGGCCACAGCATCACATATATTCAGCATCCCACACTTCAAAACGGCAGCAGGAGCACTTTAATTAAAGTTTGTTCGATGCAAAGCGCCCCGCCACCATTTTGAGACATGGGGACCCTGAATACACGGGACACCGAGGCTGCTGGAGTGTACTAATGAGCATTAATAAAGGTGCTCTATTAATCGAGTCTGCTCTGATGTATGCTAATTAGCAATTGTTGGAGCAGAGGTCTGTCACCTGTAGAAGTGCCCTATAACTCTTAGTTTAATATACTTCAACACTTCAAGCTTGCAGTGTCCCAGTGAGGCACAAATTACAGGGTTTGGAGTTGAATTCATGAAATAATGGTTGTGCAATTGTTTTATTGATTTTTACCAAGTAAGTTCTACTTCACCATTTAATAGTTCTAAGAAACTTTTAGTACTCTGATAGAAAACCTGATAAAAGCTTTAACTTGCATAAAAGCCTTAACTTATGCCACTTTATAATGCCATGAAATTCTGACTAAACCTAGTATTTAAATAGATTTAAAAATTAGTCAGCATTTAAAAATAAGTTTGAAAAGATAGCCAGATAACGCAGTAGCAAAAACCAAAGGACCTAGAACTTTTTTCATGCATCTTGGCCCATATGCTGTAATATAAGGTAAGAGAGTGCTGGCTCTCCATAATGAAAGAAAGTTAATGTAACTTTAAAAATGAACTAGCATTAAGAACTAGTTTTATTCTAAATGTCATTTTGCAACAGTCTTCGTGCTTTATAAGCGTGTTCAAGTACTGGAAAAAAATCTTCCATGTTGTTTCAGGTCCCATTCAAGAAGCTCTTCCAGTTCCAGATCAAGATCTCGTTCCAGTTCCAGAGAACATTCTAGATCTCGTGGGTCGAAATCAAGGTGAATGAGGTAGCATTCTCTCTGCTTTGCAGAGAGAAATTAAAAGGCAACAGAAGAAACTGCTTGTTTATTTCATTAGAAAATTACTTTGACACTGGAAGAGCATTTAACTCAGTTTCACCCTGGAAGTCGGATATTGCCAGTGTCAGAAGTCCAAGAAGTAACCACTATTAAATAAACAATTATTTTTCAATATGCAAGTTTGCCTCTCTGTGAGGATTCCTCTGGTCTAAAGATATGCAAGTTGATAACTCAGTTCTGCAATACTTTGAAGCAAGTTAAATCTGACTGTTTATGCTTAAAATAATTCTTGCACTTCTATTTACTGTTTCCTCTTTGGCTACTAAATGCAAAAAAAGAGTAATACACTCTACTCTTTTTATTTTAGGGTTTCATGGTAATATCGCTAAGCTCCTGTTAGACAAAACTGTTGAAATTGCATTTGCAAACATGAAGGATATATGAAATTACTGCTCAACTTCTTAGGTGAATTGCCTCACTGAAGTCAGTGAAGCAATTCATGTGCTTCAGGCAAGCAGATTTGGCCCAGTATTGTCCATATAGGCACACTGAAATCTGAGTTAGCCTTTCTTTAATATATGGCAAGTACTGAACCATGCATAGGAGGCAACATCAGTTGGTATTCTTTGTGATTCTTCTTCACTGAGGCTTCCTTGTAAGCAGAATTATTTTGCAGTAGATGGCAAATTCATCCCTTTTCCATGCAAATGGAGTATCCATGTGCTCTGAAATAAGTTGAGTTTGATTGCAGAAAGGGAAATTTGGAACAGGGAGGGCAGCCTAGCATGCAATCATTGCATGGCACAAACTTTTGCTAACGCGATCCTCCTGTAGCATGGAGTATCACCAGGAATTCTCTTTTCTCTTGAATGGAAAATGGTGGAAGTGCATAAAGCCTCTGCGAAATGGTCTTTCAGTTCTGGGTAGTCTGCTTGGTAGTTCTGTGCTACCATCTGTATTGGCTGCATTTGCCCAGATGTTGAGCTCTGAATTTCAGCATAGCGTCATTTGAACAGGTAGTATAAAGTGAAGTAGAAACAGAAAACTAAATGTTTGACAGTATTTGATGACATGTTCACTGCAGTAGTAGTATAATGTTTAGGTTGTAGCAGTTGTTTAAAATTTGTTCAAAAACTGGAATTAATACTTCCTGGTACATTCAACTGCTTGAAATGTGGGAAACACTTCTATATACACTGAAAACTGAAAACATTTCTGCAGAAAAGTATGCACTAAGTCCTGTTGGTGTGGTGGATTTAACATTAGGCTTGCAGCCAGGAAGTTCTAAATTACATTTTTATCACCATGTCTGACAGCCTTTTTTTTAAATCCACAAGTGTGTGTGTTGTGTGTATGTTTGTGGGGAGGAACTTTTTTGTTTTTGTCAATACCTGGATAGCAAAGTGTCATGCATGCCATTTTATCAACATTTCTGCTCAGTTAAAATCAAACAGGCAAATTTTGGTGGGTAGACACAAGTATTTTTCAGGTCTTCAGACTCTAGCAATTTTAGTCACTTTATTTTTGGAATAATAGCCTTGATTCATAATGTAATATATAAAATGGTAAAGTGAAACAGGTTTCTAAATTGCTTGCACTTGATTTGTTTTTCCCTAATCTTTTTCATTCTGTAAACTGAAGTATTTAGCAAGAGTAAGGTCCTCCTCTTATAGTCCGTCTCCCATCGTATCTTTTATTTAACAAAGTCTTAATTCTGAATAACTGAAATGAGACTCACAAACTGCTAGTCTACAGCCCCATACTTTGAAAAGCACAACTAATAAAAGTACAGACAATTTCCATTGAGATTAGAAGGTCTTATTGGTTATTAGTTAAGGAGGAGTAAGTATCAAAATAGTCAGACCCGTATTTGTTAGCTGCTACAGCAGGAACTACATGGATTTGATTTCTGTTATAGACTCTTTGGGTTTTTTTGTTGTTTTGTTTTTCTCTGTATATTATACAAGAATTAAATCTGATTTATTTCTTAATCAATAAAGATCCAGCTCCAGGTCCTACAGGGGGTCTTCAACCCCAAGAAAAAGATCTTACTCAAGCTCTCGTTCATCGTCTTCTCCTGAGAGAGGCAGGAAGCGAAGTCGTTCTAGATCTTCATCGTCTGGTGATCGCAAAAAAAGACGATCGAGATCACGGTCACCCGAAAGGTTTGGGTTTATGTAGAATAAGAATGGGTGTATTTAAATGTGATGCAATTTCTGAAGAATTGAGATGAAGTGGGAAAGGGTTGAATTTTACCTGTTGGTTTTTCATAATTTCAAAACAGATTTCTCATTTTCCCCCATTCTACCATGTCCCTTTTTCTTTTTTTTTTAACTTTTGTTTCTATCTTTCCTGGTAAAATCTCCTCCTGTTAGGAGCATATCCTGTAGAAAAGGACTGGGTATTTGAAAGTGTTTCAATGTTTGAAAGTCTTAATGGGTAATACATTGATTGCTCACTTTATAAGTGAATACTGTTGCATTAAGGGATTGAATTATGTTTTCTGCGTTAAATTTGCTACATTTTTAGTATTAAACTTCAATGAGTCTAGAAAGGTGTCAGGTTATTTGTTCAGTTTTTCATGCTGCCCCTATCAAATTTGTCTTCCAACTATTGTAGAATAAAGTATTGTGGGTCTGAATGATGAAATTAATTCAAACTTACTTGTTTGCATGCTTTCTCCATTTGTATCTTTCAGACGCCGCAGGTCATCATCTGGATCTTCCCACTCTGGTTCCCGTACAAGTTCTAAAAAGAAATAGCATATTAAAGTTCACATTTAAAACAAAATTCCAGTCCAGTGCATGAGGCATATTTTAAGAAGTTGGTGTCTTATTTGGTCAGAAGTGCTAAAACTGCTAGTAGAGGTGCATGTCTGTCCTTGCTTTCTGGGAAACTGCAGCTTTGTTCATTCATGAAACCAGTACAAAAGAGGGAGAGCATTTTAAGCCATAAACCCCCAAAGTGAATATGCAGTTTCATTATTCCAGTTATCATTTCAGATATTATGTATCGGTATTATTCAGCAGTGTATAGGGGGGCACTTTGTTTATTTTAAGAATATCTGTGTGATTTTTTTTTTTTCTTCTAGTGTTCAGGGGTCCAGTTAAATTTCTTGTAGCTTCCTGAACTTTAATGGAGGCAAGTTACTTTGTTGTGTGTGGGTTTATTCTCCCCAAAACAATCCTACCTGCCACAAATGGGAAGGAGTATTTCAGAATGTGGAAGATAATTTATTTATTTGAACATATTGTACATGGCAATATGCTCCTAATTGATTGATGCACCCCTTTTGGGACCATGGAAAGTTAGTGCAGCTCTAGTTAGAAGTACCCTCCCAAGCAAGTAGGAGGGGAGTTCTTAGCTGGTTTTCTTTTGGTGTTTATTTAATGATCGGTGCCATTTTTTTTCACCTGTATGTAGGGCTGAGGATTTTGATGCTTCTTTACACGCAGCCTTATGCCAGATATTACATCGGGTGAATAAGGTTTCTTTCCCCCAACTTGAAAGTTTTTTATGCACTCTTTTCTCCACAGCTGAAGTCTCAAAGCTGTCAGAAAATCTGGAAATATTTAGGCTCTTTGCTCCTTTCTCTTAGCTAATGCCTTATCTTATTGTAATAGGTATTAGGTGCACTACTTTCCTGTGTGTGAAGGCTGTCATTCCCTCTTAGGAAGGGGGCAGACTTTTGTGCACATATAGTGATAAAAGCTACTTTTAAAGGTAGGGGGTTATGAAATAGACTTCTTGCAATTATAGAATGATGCCTCTAAGCCAGCAATCAGAGAAGAATCTGGGCCAAAAAGAGCTAATTTTTGAGCTGTCTAAATTTTGCGTATAGTAAGTAAACTGCATATACAATTCTGAGATGTAAGTGTGTTCTTCTAAGAATACATTGTTCTTCTCCCCCTAAACTTGTATACACTTTATGGCTTAAAGTGCTTTCCAGATTTTGTTTTACTAGCAATATTGCATTAAAACTTGGTCACTCTTGAGCTCCGTTTGGTTAAGAAAGTTTTGTGTTGACAGTATCTTCGGTGCCATCGCAAGGTAAGTATATTGAGAGACAATAACATGTTCTTACCAAAAAAGCAATATATCTGCAATTATTTGAATAGTTGAATTATTTGAAATGTTCAATCTTTGATATTTGGTTTTGTAAAAATGAACTGCACAAAGACAAACGGAGCAAAATATCCATGTTTTTCCTTTTGTTGGGGGGTTGTTTGTTTTAACAGGCTTTTGGGGGACTGATGGAGGAGCGAAATGTTTTTGGTTGTAGAAATATTTTGATAATCCTTTTGCAGGAAAAAATCCCCCTGCAAC